ATTTTATTTTATTAATTTTAAGGAACATTTACAGAGATTTGAGATTTCCATTCATTCATTGTTGCACTATCTAGACCAAGGTATCAAGAAGCTGAGTATAAGGAAGATACTTACAGGTTATGGCAATATGTAACATCTATGAATGACTGATGAGGGCAGTGGGAGAACTCTCACCTTATATTTTGGCAACCTGGCGTCAATTGTCACCTGTCCTCTTCAAGCACAAACACCACCATTCTGTTAGGAGAGATTTGTGTGTTTCTGTGATGCTAAAGAGATTTCAGCAGAGCTTCCAAACGTAGATGGATTAGAAAGAAAGGTCTGGGAACCTCCTTAAAAAAGACAAAACAATTAACCCATGAAAACTCTATGATTGGCTCTATAGCCAATATATATATTCTCAAACGAGGATTCTTGTCATCAATGGCGACAGGAGTTTGAACCCCATTTCTGATACAACTTAGAGATAAAAGAAGGAAATCAAGCCTATGAGGGGAGATCTCACTACTACAGAGAAAGAATTGTCTGGAGTGAAGTGTGTCTCTCTGGATCTAGGTCCCTGCACGGTGAAGCTCGCAGGTAGAACAAGACACATGAAGGTCTCCAAGGAATGCTTAATCCACATTTGTTGAAGGAAACAAGGACTTTTCTCCACAACTGACACAGAGAGAGTGGGTCTTCCCCTATAGATTAAGCACTGCATTTGGCCATTTGTAAAAGGAACAGCGAGTGGCAGCATAAGGACAGACAAAGCTGACTTCTGCTAACTTCACAAAGGAGAACTGTCCCCATCAACAACATCCACAGTACAAAATCAAGTCTTAGAAAGTCAGACGTGGTCTCCCGCACTCCTGCACTTACTTCTGTTAATTCCAATTCAAATCTTACTATTGTACTGGGTCCAAAATCTGTGAGCGTGTCCACAAGTATGTGGCTAGTGTTACCACCCCACTAGATTTAAACTGAGTAGTTGCAGAAGCAGAAATTAGGACTTTAGATACTAATAAGGAAGAGGAAAAAGCATGAAAGCTTTGAAGCCAGAGATTCCTGCTCCAGGCAGACCAACCAAGTTCTTCACAAGAGCAAGAGCAGGCTTAGCATCAGAGACTGATGTGAAGCAGAGTTGACTTGGGTCTGCTGTCCCACAGAACCAGAGCTAGAGCCAGAGTCAGAGACATTTAGCTTCTCACACCAATCTATTCCAGAAAATCTGGAGGACAGCAGCTTGGCCAACTGATGGAAGAGTTCCATATTTGTTCCCATTCCCAAGAAGAGCAATGCAGCAGGCTATGGAAATAATAGAACAATATCATTGATATCACATGCCCTTTAAGGTACGTATAGAATTAGATCCTTATGATCTATGAGAGATTGAGTTGGACATGGGTTTCAAGTACAGTTTTAGTCAGTATATCTAAACCTTCTTTTTTTTTAGCTTTTCTTTGTTATACTTCACAGATATGATTTTTATAGATTGAAGGTTTGTGAACTCTGTTGTCAACAAGTCACTGAACACCATTTTCCAGGCAGCCTGTGCTTCCTTCAAGATTATGTGCCACATTTTGATAATTCTTAGATTTCAAACTTTCTCATAATGTGATCGCGTTACAGAACATAAGGAGTTCTTTCCGTGGTCAGTTGCCAGTAAGACAAATGGATTGCAATATCAATAAATGCACTTTATTACACAGATCCTGTTCGAGAGTGGTCATGGGCTTTTATAGGAGGGTGAGACACCAACTTACTTAACAATAAACTTTTCTTAGTAAAATCAAAGAATTTCTATATCTGAAAGAAAATCATTCACACCCAGATATTCACTCCCTTTCCAGGCAAACAGGCAGATTAAGTTACAATTTGCAGATGATTGGGGGAGACAGCTTCAAAGAGCTAACAGCTAATCTAGGAGATGCATCTCCTCTTCTGATAAACAACCAGACCAAAGAAATGACACTGAGAACTCCAAGGTCAAGCAACCAGTCCAGCAGGCTGGAGAAAACTATAGTTTTATAATTGATACCTATAGAGAGAATTTCTGAACTTATTAATACCACCCTACCGTTCCCCCTCTTTTTATATAAGTCTTATATCTCTAAGACAAACATGCCACCCCATCATTCGCACACATTTTAGACTACATATAGGTTTAAAGTAAGGCCAGTGTTTGGAGAAGGACATTATGCTTGGAAGGATGGAGGAACAGCGCAAGAGAAGAAAATTCTAGATGAGATGGGTTGACACAGTAACTGAAGTAATGGGGATAGGTGTGTCAGAGACAGTGAGATTGGCTCAGTAGTACATAACAACAACAGCATAGTATAAAGGTAGTTTTTTGTATGGATTGGAAAACCAAAATACTCATATGACGTGCTTTACTGTGATATTTGTTTTATTGGATTATTCTAGAATTAAGCTCCCATCACCTCCAAGGTACAGCTGTGTATAATGTGAAGAGATAGGTATGACATTTTCCCCCCAGACATACGTCAGACTAGAAGAGACTCTGTTCTGTATTTTTCCGCATGTGGTCAGTTTGCAAGCTGCATTAGGTGGGGTTCTTCTCACAACATCCTGTGCGCTTTTCAGTTGAGCTGGGCTGGGGGCCTCCAGAGAAGCAGAAGCTGCGCCATGTCTCTCGCATTGACCGGCCTGGTGTGTCTTGGTAAGTCCTGGAAGGGAATGAAAGAGAAGGAACATTATGGTGAAAAATAATCTCTTGAAGACGCTGTGTCCTCTTAAGAAAGCCCTCTACTTCCATGGGTGTGTGGGGGTGTATGTGTCTGTGTGTGTGTGTGTGTGAGACTGTTAAGAGCAGAGTTTATCTTCAATCAAGGACACTCTTGGCTTGGACCAGATGAGACTAGTGAGAGGACATCTTTTATATGGAGACACATCAAGCATGATGAATTTTTCTTTCCAGGGTTCTTCACAGACCAGAGGATCTGGGCACAAGCGGGTGAGTCATGCCCTTGGAAGGAGGTTGCCCACCAACTCCAAATAAGGATTTTCCAGTAATAAGATGGCATTGGGTCGCTTTTGAACAAGAAAGTTAAGGTCCTAGGAGCTCTGGGCTGTGCGTCTACTCTAGAGACCTCTCTAGCACTGCTCTCCTTAGCTGAACCATCTCTGGCATCTGTAGGAGACCATGAAGAAGAACCACCTGGGGAAATCAAGTATTTTCTTTAGCATTTCCGTGACTGTAGGAACAGCACTGCTGCTACTATTCTTTCCAAAGAGATGAGAAAACCATATGCGACGGTTGCCTGAGTTTACAGAATATTCAGACACGGCTTAGCTGGTTAAGGAGCTTTAGGGGTTAATTCTTATGATGTTGTCCAAGTGCCTTAGTCTGTGTGTAAGAGCCCTGTTGGCCACGGGTAAAATAGACGTCTATTAACCAAAAGTTGAGTGACTGGAATCCATCCAAACTCTGCAGGGAAGAAAGATGAAGCTGCCTACTTCTTGAAGATTGGTACCTTGGCATCCTACAGACAGCTCTTCTCTGGCCTACAAGGTCACTGGGAGGGACAGTTAACTAACATCTGAGCTTCATTGCTTTGGAGTTGGTTTTTTATTTTCCATGTGTGTATTAGGTTTGGAAGCAGGAGTGGCATCCACTTCCATAATAACTTGGCTCTGGAAACTCTACGATCCTGGAGAAAAGACGAAAGTTATACAGGTGTCCAGGACTTCCATTCAGAGGGTCGCTATGTGTCGCCCATGACCCGACAGCACTTAACAACAACAACAACAACAACAACAACAACAAAAACAACGTGTATTAGGTCGTGTCATACAAATGATTTTGTGTTGGTTACCTCATAAAGCACACTGACAAAGAGTGATATGCAAAGTGAAAGAATATTCCTTCAGATATAACAGCACTAGTCTCATTTAGCAGTGGGTAAGTGTTGTTGAGTCGTATATGACACAGAGTAAGCTTTGCACAAAAGTCCTAAACTCTGTTCTATAATTAATATCACTTCTGCACGTTTATAAGAGAGTTTGTAGAGCTTCCAGAGGCATCCAGTTTAGGAAGTGGGTGCCACTCCTGCTTCACAGCATGAACCCATCCGGAAGCTCATCCAACCGTTGTGCAAAATGGGTGAGCATTATGGTATTTGACGCGACTGTGGAGTTCAGTATCACAGCAACACCAAGTTGTTCAGTACAGCAAATAGACAAACGATTGCTGTGTCTTTAAAGAACATTCTTCTAAAATTACTAATACAGAAAAGAAAAAAGTTGAAAAAAATTATTTTGTGTCATCAATGTCCTGCAAGGAGGGACTAGTCCTTGGAGAAGGACATCATGCTTGGGAGGGTGGAGGGACAGCGCATGAGAGGAAGACCCTCTGTGAGGTGGATTGATTCAGTGACTGGGGTAATGGGGGTGGGTGTGTTAGAGACGGTGAGATTGGCACAGGACAGAGCAGGGTTTAGAGCTGTTGTACACAGGGTCGCTATGAAGTCCCAGGTGACTCGACGGCACATAACAACGACTGTGAAAAATTCATCATTCAGCTCTTTCTCAAGATTCTCAGTCAATATTTTTTCTAGTAAGAATTGATGCCAAACTTTTTTTTTTGCTTTTTAATTTTTTTATTATTAAATTTTATTAATTTTAATGGACATTTACAGGGATTTTGGGTCTTCACTCCTTCACTGCTGCACCAAGATGCCAAACTTTTGATGTCAGGGACTCTTCATGGTAGTCCTGGCATCCTATATTTAGAAAATATCTCTAGAGAATTTGAAAAAAGAAGTCTCTGAGTATAATGAAGGGAGGAGAAAGCCCACATTTTCCCCTCTAAGGTTTGTCTTTGTCTCACTCAGTTGCTCATGAAAAACCTTCCCTAATTGTGTGGCCCAGCCAGGTCGTTCCCCGAGGAGAGCACGTGAGTCTTCGATGTCACTCTCATCCAGAATTTGCCAGGTATGAACTGTACAAAGAAGATAGGTCTCATGTCAATAAGTCCCAGAATCCACTGGACTCAAGCAATTTCCTCTTGGGCCCCGTGACCCCAGCCTATGCTGGGATCTACAGATGTTACGGTTTTTCTCAAAATTCCTCTACACCGTCAACGCCCAGCGACCCCCTGGAGATCATGGTCACAGGTAAGAGCTCCTGATCGCCGTGGCTTTTCAGAGTCCTGGTCTGACTCACTCCAGGCTTTTCCAGGGGGAATATCCATCAATATCCAGTCAGAACAACAGAAACTACTCCACACATTTTAGGCAAAATAAGGGAATGAAATATAGAACAGTGACCTCTTGGTGAGATGAACTGATAGAGTATCTGTGGTAATATTCTCAAATGTGTCAGGAATGAGGATACAGGGATGGTGCCGTAGAAGAAGATAGGGTTCACATCCACTGTTTTTGTTTTTTGTGTGTGTGTGTGTGTGGGATGAATTTTTTTTTGGGGGGGATGAATTTTCTTATTTTTTAATTTTAGTGAAAGTTTACAGAGACTTACCATTTCCATTCATTCATTGTTGCACTTTTCTCCCTACCCACCCTTTCCCCCCCAAATTTACTCTTCTCCTTGAAAAGTAAAAGAAAAATTCTTTCATTGTTATGTAATCCCTCCTCCCAAGTGCCCTTCAACAAATGAATGGATAGAGAAGTGCTGGTATATTCACACAATGGAATACTATGCTGCACTGAAAAACAAGGAACTCATGAAATATTATACAAAATGGGTGACCCTGGACGACATTATGCTGAGTGAAATATCTGTCACAAAAGGACAAATACTGCATGGCGCCACTGTTGTAAAACAGGACTGACATCAGGGTTGAGGGGAGACTGAGAAAGATGGGTTCAATAATGTATACTGCTTTGAAACAGATGAGGGAGAGAACTGTTTAAAAGGGATTTATGATTAGGTATTATTGTCATGACAGGAGTCCAGAACGAAGGCTGCATAGTGGAGTGGACCTGGGGGGAGGGATTGTAAAACAATGAAAGAATTTTTCTTTTACTTTTCAAAGAGAAGAGTGTACTGGGGTGGGGGGTGGAAGGGGGGCAGGGAGAAAAGTGCAACAATGAATTAATGGAAATTGAAAAAAAAAAAAAGACCACAGAGCCACATGTCAATTGCTCCTTGGAGCAACAGAAGAAGATAGTCAGGAGTAGGAGAGGATGTGGAGTGCGTAACTAATTGTCTCCAAAAACATAAATATCTACCCATTTGCCATGAGACCAGAATTCGACGGCGCCCAGCTACAGTGAATATTTTAATCCCCTCTCATCAAAAGGGGGGAAATAGAAACCAGAATTTCAAGTCCTACAGGCACCAGACTTTATAGAATCTCTGAGACTCTCACCTGAGATAACATAAACAAACCCAAAGTCCCCAGTAGTCTTCTTAAAAGCATAACAAAGATTTAGTTAAACTTGAAAACAAATTAGTCTCTTCCTATTCAAGAACCGTCTTAATGGGACCAAAGTGGAAAAAAAACCCCAAACACCTTTATTAAAACAAACAAACAAACAAACAACACAACACAACCTATCAACTTGAGCAATTAAAAAGAAATCTTAAGGGACAGTAAGTTTTGCTAATGGAGAAGATACAACTTGGGAAAGAAGGGATTGGATGGTTGCAAAACTTGGAAAATGCCATCAGTGTCCAGGAAAAGGACCTGCAGAAAATACAGAATTGGTGTACATTCTAAACAATGACCAGCACATGAATTCCTTTTTTAATAAGTGAAGGTGGAGGCTGGCCTTGTTTGACAGCAGCTCTGACGTGCCCACAGTCACTCAGTGCTTTGCCTCTCCGTGCACGTCTGTAAAGGACCTCAGAGCACAGCACGTACTGAACAGGGAATCGCACACACGCTTTAGTGAGCTGGAAATTAATAAACACAGACATCTTCGCATGTTGAGGATCTTTTGTGCGTAGGAGATGAGAGATCTTGGGGAGCAGAGACAGAGAGGAAGTAGAGAGATGGACACAGGAAGGCAATCTTCATTATTTCACATCCATGGAACAGGGTGAGGAATTCTTTCTTTAAAACTGGTTTTCTTTTTGAAACGGCTTTTCACTCAAGGACTCATATACACTTTGTCTTATCAAATCCCATTGTGCAATGCCATTATTTACCTTGTCTTAGTGAAACATCGCAATGCCCTCCCTTTTCTTTCTTTATTCTTCCTGCTCCCCCTCCATTCAATGGTAATGCGTGTCCTGTTCAGAGTGTTAATTGTAATACACTTCATGTCTGATAGTAGGAATCATTACTTTTTAAAAAATTTATTTATTTTTCATGTCAATGAACATCTACAGAGATTTTGGAATTCC